TACATCCTTTTCCAAATTTCATAATTTTGGAGCCAATTATTAAGAAACCTTTCACATTTTTTGCAATAAATCGTAATTTTTGAGCGCCTCGTTTATCCCCTTAGAAAAGATTTTGACTTTTTCCAATAGCAGTAAACAGTAGATTTATTCTTCCTACTGTAAGTTAATGTAGAATATTTGCAAATACTATATTCATTTATTTGTACTGATCGTTCTACTGCAGGTAGTTTACGGAAAAAACGATAATATGCAGAACTTCAATCGCCTTATTCTCTCATTAATGTTCAATAAATTAGAATTAATTAAATACTACGACATCAGAAATATGTTTTTGTTGTAACATAATGTATTAGAGTTTTGAACATCTAACCTCCGTGAGTTCTCCAAAAAAAAATACAGGTTTACCTCGTATTTTGATATTGAATTAAATAGCATTACTATCAAAAACTTTCATAAAACTAATCTACCATCATTAAACTACTGAAATATGTATATATTTTTATAATCAGTTCATTAATAATTATTTTATAAGACTCGAAACATCACCCGTAAAATGCAATATATACTCGTGCTAGAGTAAATCTACCTACGCGCCGATCAGCACGCCAGCGGCGCAATTTTGTAAAAGGGCTCATAAGGGAGATAGGACTTAGCAGATTTTCTGTTATAGAATAGGGGTGACTTACCTTTTTTATCACTTAAAAGAAGGTAAGTCGGCACCCGTATTCTTCTTCGAATGAAATGGAATTCGAATATTCGGCCGTTCTCCATATTCGGTTGAACCTACATTCGGTGCATCTCTAAAAATAAGTGTCTATAATCTCTTATCTATTAGACAAGTCCGTCCGTCTGTCTGTCTGTGGTGCTGTTTCAGCGGCCAAACCGTACGAGATAGATAAAGAGAATATTTAAGTTATAAGTTAAGAATAGTCTGATAAGACTACAAACCGGATTTGAGTAACGTAGCACTTCCGGTTTTCGAGAAATCACGAATTTCAAACGAAACCACACAAAATCTCCGAAGTTCTCAATTAATTAAATACATTTTTTTTTAAATCAGGTTTTGGTGAACATTTGGTTCACTGGTTTGCTAGTTTTTTGATAATCTAACTGACGGATTATACAAAATTTTGTTTACTTTACCCCGTCGTCATGGAGTGCTTGTCTGGGAAAGTAACCTCCAATTATATAAGAGAAAACAAAGTGAGATAACAGCAACTATTAGTGGTTTAAATCTAAAAAAAAGTTTACTAGAAAAAACTTCCACTCGGACCAGGCAGCAGACGGGACTCGAAGCCGCACCCTTCGCTATCCGGGCGAAAGCACTGACCATTATGCTACCGCAGCCCTGACGGCCGTATCGAATTTTTCTCTAGCCTTAGGCTGCAAAGCAGCGCCATCTCTTCACATTGTAGGTAACCAACAATGTCACATGAATACTTTTACAGGTATTAAACATTTGAAAGAAGAAATAACAATTTATATTTCGATAGCATAATGGTCAGCGCATTCGCCCGGATAGCGTAGGGTGCGGATTCGATTCCCGTCTGCTGCCTGATCCGCGTGGTTTTTTTTTCTAGTAAACTTTTCTTTAGGTTTAAACATCTAGCAGTTAAATGCTTAAAAATAAAAACATAACTATAATTGCTATTTCTTCTTTTAAATATTTAATACTTGTAAAGGTAAATAAAGTCAAATTAAGTCAAATGAATACCTTTGTGTAAAGGTATTCATTTGACATTGTGGGTTACCTACAATGTGAAGAGATGGCGCTGCCTTGTAGCCTAAGGCTAGAGAAAAATTCGACACGGCCGTCAGGGCCGCGGTAGCATAATGGTCAGTGCATTCGCCCGGATAGCGAAGGGTGCGGGTTAGATTTCAGTCTGCTGCCCGGTCCACGTGTTGTTTTTCTAGTAAACTTTTCTTTAGATTTAAACATCTAGCAGTTAAATGCTTAAAAATAAAAATAGAACTGTTAGTAGTGTTGAGATTCTATTGGTGAGCTCCAGTTGCAAGGCTTCACGGGTTACCTGGTTTAGGTTATGGGGTCATCCCCATCTAAAGCGACACATTGTTGAATGGTTGTCAGACCATATTCTTGCCGACTAGCGACCCTCGGACCGAAACCAGATGTATTGGAAGCTCAAACCTAGATGGGAGTAGACGCCGCATGTACTTCAAACTGTATGAAAACTGAGCACTCATGTGAACAAATTATCATCAGCCTATTAATGTTCCCACTGTTGGGCCACATTTTTTGAATGTGTATTCTGTTGGTCGCAGATGACCATTGCAACGTCACCGGGTTTGGGGACGGCGAGATCCTAAGGGAACCTCAAGAGGTATTCCCCCACGGGGGGAGTCTCCTCTCGCGTTCGAACCCCTGCTGCAAGCCCGTGACGGAAATGGCCGCCACAAAGCTACTAACTACTAACTAGTAGCTTTGTGCGGTTGCTCAAAGTAGAATTGTCAGATAAGTGCGAGAAGACGAAGCAATATCGTGTCGGTTAATACTTCTTAAAGGTACTGGCTGCACCATCTCTTCCTCCTTTTCTAGGGAGTTGTTAATTATATACAGTATCGCTCAATATCCTTTATAATATATGTCAATAGAAGTTATGATATTGTATGTGAACATGAAACATTTTTTCTCCACGTCCCATCGAAAAAAACGCAACGCGGAAGCAGAAATACTCTGGTATCGCCAGCATCTTTAAGCTATGGTGGCCGCAACAAAAAGTATAACGACCTCCGTATTGTGAGTGGTATGTACACCGGTTTTCAAGGTGTTGCCTACACTGATATTTTATGTTAAAAGAGTGGCAAACAAGCGTACGGCACGCCTGATGGTAAGCGGCCACCATAGCCTCCATCCTACAATCTGGAGTCCTTTAAGAGAGGCGTGAAGAAGCACTTTTGCAAGCCAGCAAGGTGAGGATGGTTGGTGTGGCAGTTTATAAATGCTGTACCAGCTATTTTCGCGTTTGGACTTTATCACCACTTAATATCAGGCGAGGTAGAGTCATTTGCCTACCTGACTATATAAAAATAAATATAGCGCCGTTGGCTACCCTGACCTGGTCCGTGGAGCCCTGGAACCTTAGATCGCCGCACACGGGCCACCGACCACAACCACAAAACGCCGCCACCGGCATATTTCTTGTAATTTCCATACATTTTATATGGACTCGCCACACACGGTACGCCGGTGGCCGCCACACGCTACAAATCGTCGTTGCTCGCTTCTTGTGGCCCGCACCGGCCACTTAATGCGCCGATACAAAACGCCACATGTCACTAGTCGGCCACTGTCGCGCGCTTCAGCCACTTTAGTAGCCGCTTCTAGCTTCTCGTGGCGGTGTTTGTGGCTGTGTGACCCGTTTCGCACCCGTGAGACTTGCGAAAGGCTGGGCGTGAGGTCCGTTCGTTGGTGAAACCCTTTAGAACGCGTTACGCGCTCGATTCGATTTTAAGAGACGGACAGTATTATCTTTCAATATCTCTATCTTTTCATTCAACTTCATGTTAATTACAACATACAACACAACATAATCTGATAATGTTTACTTCCATAGCGTGCGTTTCTCTAAAATTTCGGGCAACAAAATAATCGCACACCGTTTGGTTTGAGTCCGCAACAAGTCCTCATCGTATTTTTTTTTTTCACGATTGATATGTCCTCCGCGGACAAAAGTCACATGCGCAGGTCTTTGGGGCTAGGCTAATTGGTGTGAGTGTTAGTTAGATCTGTTTATTTTGAAAGACAGAGAAACTAAAGAAGTTTAATAATACCAAAACTACATTATGAATGGCTGTCTTATGCGCATTCCGGTGCACATTGCGTGTCTGCATTGTGGCACGGCGTGACTAATAACTTAATTTTGTTCACAAAAGATTTTGGTTTGATCGAAAACCGACCGCCGTGCCAAGCGTACCTTGAAGGCACTTCCTACTGTTGGTTGGTTGAACTTGAAATCACGATGAAATTGTAGGCTGGAAGTGTGCCTTTAGATTCGCAATAGTAAATTATCTCTTACTGGCTTCCTGCCGCGAACGCGTCCGTGTGGACCTTAGAATTTAAAAAAAAAACTTTGAATAACCTTTGTTGGATATAAAAAGCTACCCGTGAACCAATCGTGGACAAATTAGTGATGAATGTTTTGAAAACTACCACAGGAACCTCAAAGTCTCAAAAATATTTTTTTCTACTTGTACGAGCCCTTGTCAACTCAGTACATTGAATTGCTGTTTCTTGAAGAATCGAAGACAGGGAAACACTTGAGAAAATATTTATTATTAAACTTGAAAGTAACTGTGAGCACACTGCTTGAGACAAACGCAAACTAACTTGGGCGTGGTTATGAAATATATTTAAACAGTAAAATATTGACCTAAATAATTACTTGCTGTTAAAAATGCTTTGCTAGCAAAATATACGATTTGATCGTACATATTCTAGGGCGCGAAATGAAAACAGGATATAACGAATCCAGTCAATGTTGTCACACAATAACTGAAATGTTACAATTGATATAAAATAAATTACATTAACTGATATAAGAAAGAAATAAATTATGATTAAATAAATTTTATAATTCAAAAATGGCGCGGTTTCCTTGTTGTGGTCGTGGATTGGAATTTTATAAATCCAGCAGTTATTATGTAATATAATATATTAGTCATAATCTAAAGAAAATTTTAGGTTAGAGAACATTTGACGTGGCTGTCGGGTCCGCTGTAGCATCGCCCGGATAACGAAGGGTGCGGGTTCGAGTCCCGTCTGCTGTCTGATCCTCGTGAAAGTTTTTCTAGAAAAATTTTTTTTAGACTTAAACATCTAGCAGTTACATGCTTAAAAATTTCAATAATATATTAGTCATAGTAACATTTTTTAATCACAATCAAAAATGTAATGCTACATGCTCAAGAGGAATTAAAAAAATATATGAATATGTAATAAAAAAATCACTTTAATATAACCCAATCATTTCTCCTTCCAGACGCGCGTTAGCCATCCCCCCGAACACGGACGGGCCGTACCCACACGAGCGATGCCGCATGTACTCCGCGAACTGGGCCGAGGCACTGGCCGAGGGTAGGACGACACCAGACGACGAATGGCCCATCATACCTTGCACCAACGGCTGGGAGTACAACAGCAGCGACGTGCCTTATGAAACCATCGCATCCCAAGTAAGTCAACCTTATCAATATGATTTTTTTTATCGATAGGTCCGACAAATGACTCCATCCCACTTGATGTTAAGTGAAGGTGAAGTCCAGACGCGAAGATAGCTGATACAGCAGTTCTATCTGCCACACCAGCCATCCTCACCCTGCCGGCCTGCATGTTGCTTCTTCATGCCTCTTTTAAAGGATCCCGAGGGAACACGTGAGCGGGCAGAGCATTCTATTTACGGATAGTGGGACAAGAAAATGAGTCACCTAACTTCTTTGTGCGCGTTGGAATAGTGGCCACAGTTATTCCAGCGAGCGTGGTCCTCTGAAGGAAAGAGGAAGGTGGAATATGAGAGAATAACTCTTCAGGACACTCGCCGTGGTACAGACGATAGAACGCGCTTAATGACGCCATGTCACGGCGTAATTGAAGAGGCTCGAGGTGTTTAGTCACCTCCTCATCGCCTATGAAGGATCCAAAGCATCGTGAATGTGGTGTCAATTAGACGGTAGGTTTTGGTCTCAGTTTGCTGACAGTCTGACGGCTGCATGAGCGTTCAATCGAAGCCTGTCGTAGGCAGAGGGTAAGACCACCAGAAGGTGAGATAAAAAGGCACAGAGGAAAACTCCATGCAGCGCTGCCAATAAAAGCATTTCTCTGCGTATGTGACAGACAGCCACTGCTCACACACACACGCGCATATGTAAGAAGCTTTCTCTTCTTTACTCATGTGGTAGGATCACAACAGAGGACGAATAGTCCATCATACCATGCACCAACGGTTGGGAGTAGCCTTATGAAACCATCGCTTCACAGGTGAGGTAATACCTTGCACATCATCATCACCATCGGCGTATTAATGCTCCCACTTGTAACTCACAGGCCTTTCCTATGTATAGATCCAGCACACTGACCCGATGCGGATTGGTGGGTGCTATCGACCGCAGATGAAGTCGGGTCCAACGGCTTAACGTGCGTTCTGGAGCACTGAGGAGTTTGCGATAATCAGTGTTAAGCCATTGCGCAACTGTCACAATATTTCGATATTTACACACACACAAAAAATAGTACAGGTAAATTAAAGCACAGGAAAGGATTTTATCGCGATCAAATTCGTTGACAGCGAGTTGACTCGAGTAGTTGGCACAGATTTAACTGTAGTTTGCATTGTGGTATCGTATTTGCTTGCTTGGAGTATGGTCAATTATTATAATTAACAGTTTGTTGAAACCCCTAGAAGCAAAACCACAAGAAAATGCTTCGTACAAATTCTCGTATTTATCATGACAAACATAATATACCGTTACAGAACATACCCTTACCGGGATTCCAATCCAGAACCTCAGAATAGAAACCAGGAAAGCCGGTTAACATACGACTCTATCACTAACTTCGTCTATTTATTTATATACGTATCTAATTACTGATTTTCATTTACAGCTGGACTGGGTGTGCGACAAGGATAACCTGGCAGCGACTGCTCAGGCCATCTTCTTCTGCGGTGCTATAGTCGGTGGTCTAGTGTTTGGATGGATAGCCGATAAGTACGGAAGGATCCCAGCTTTAATGGGTAAGTTAATGACTGTACAGTCACAAAGGCTTGCCGTGCCTAAAAAGAGAGTCGGCTCAGAATAATAGCCTGCGCAAACGAGGCACTTTCCACCAAAATAGATCGCTATTAATTGCATCTTAGTCAGTGTTGTGTGCTCGATCTGATATAAGGGCATGGAACCAGTATTCCTTTCTAAAGATTTTTATTTTTCTTAACTTCAAGTGAATAACATTGCAACGTTATTTCAGAATATTTGCTTCCATAACGTCCGTTTCTCTAAATTACTCTGCAGTAAAGGTTTTCTCGTCGTTTCAGTTAAGACCTGAGAGTTCCACGGCGGACATATTGTATGATTCAGGGATTTTGCCAAAAAGGATACGGACAAAAGTCCCTCTTCTTCGCAGGCCATTATGGTACATGTGACTTTCATCATCATCATCATCACCATCACCAGCCTATTAATGTCCCCACTGCTGGGGCACAGGCCTTCCCTATGGATAGCATAGAGAGATTGGGCCATGACCCACCACGCGAGCCCAGTGCGAATTGGCGGGTGTTAACGACTGCAGATGCAGCCGGGACCAACGGCTTAACGTGCCTTCTGAAGCACGGAGGAACTCGAGATAGAAGATTTTTGGTCACCCATCCAATGACCAACCACTGCGAAAGTTGCTTAACTTCAACGATCTCAGCCGAACGCGCTAACCACCTGCGCCATCGAGCTCCTCATGTGACTTTATCAGGGGGAATTTAAATATGCGCTCTTTTTTTCATTGGTTTTGCATTGGTAACAACAACATAAAAGAAAATGAGCGTAAGGTATTTGGAAACCTTCGGCGGACAGAAATAACAAAATTAAATTCGGAAGCTATAGCGATAGCCATAGCGATTCCGTTAGTCGATTGACTCCCTGGTGGTCCTAAGAAATAAATAAATGTTTTCACAGTCATTTAAGTTGCGTTTCAATTGTTCACAGGCACCAACCTGATAGGTTTCGCAGCGGGCGTCGGCACCGCATTCTGCGACAGTTTCTGGTCGTTCGCGCTCTGCAGGTTCCTTGTGGGCCTGGCTTTTGACAACTGCTTTACGATGATGTATATTCTAGGTAAGAATACATACTTGGTGTGAACGATCAACTTTTCAGTTAATTTTCTACCACGTAACTATATTGATGTAGCGGCGACATTTAACAAACGGAGCAAAACCTTACTCGCCTTGTCAAGAGATGTCGCTATCAGCGGACAATGCAATGATGACCATATAAAATCTAAGAATAATATGGAAAGCTTACATCGAGCTAACGAAATTTTAAAGCTCACACAATCATATAACAGAGCCCGACTAACATCGGTCGGCTCCCGGGTTAAGATCATAGCCCGGAAAAAGAGCTTTCCTTTAAGACCATACCTACAGAACTAATGAAAATTATTTTGACATTTTTAAACCCATCTATGACTTAAAAGAGTTAACACTAACAAATAGAAAAGTCCTGACAAAGAACCGGACTTTATATACCTACAATCAGACCCGTCTTTCCCAGTGGGCACTTTAGGCAAGTGCCCAGGGCCCCGCGATCGATAGGGGGCCTCAGATCAAATACAAAGTCCCTAGTTCCTGTTAAATCACCAAACGGAAGACATAGGGGCCCCATTATCCTAATATACCCAGGGCCTCCAATAGGTCAAAGACGGCACTGCCTACAATTCTGACATTTTACTAACAAAATACAAACAATGCGCGGAGGTAGCACGTTTGCAATAAAAATATTTGAATTTGAATTTGAAATTTGAATTTGTAAAAAACGTGATTTGACAAGACTGTATCCTTTATTTTATGCATTTATACTAAGCTGAAAATCTGAACAACAATGAAAGCTTGTCAAAACCGGACTACTTTACAAAAGTCCGTACATGTCGAGATAAATCAGAAGGAATATTAATCATTTCACTAATTTAACTTCATATTATTTTGTACATATCAGCTTGTTTATTTTATGTTAAAAGTGTGGGAAACAAGTATAGGGCCCATCTGACAGGAAGCGGCCACCATAACCTAGACGCTTCATCATCATCATCATTAGCCTCTTAATGTCCCCACTGCTGGGGCACAGGCCTTCCCTATGGATGGAATAGGGAGATTGGGCTATGACCCACCCCGCGGGCCCAGTGCGGATTGGCGGGTGCTAACGGCTGCAGATGCAACCGGGACCAACGGCTTAACGCACCTTCCGAAGCACGGAGGAACTCGAGATAGAAACTTTTGGTCACCCATCCAATGACCGACCACTGCGAAAGTTGCTTAACTACAACGATCGCAGCCGAACGCGCTAACCACCTGCGCCATCGAGCTGCTCACCTAGACGCTTGCGATAACAAAAATATCACTCACGCCATTTGCCTACTCTGACCTAATAAATCCCCTACTCCGCGTAGCCCTGAAACCTTACCCTTTTTTTGAGTGTGTATGCTGTTGGTCGCAGATGACCATTACAGCCTCACCGGGTTTGGGGACGGCGAGATCCTAAGGGGACCTCAAGCCGAGAATTGGCGAGTGCCTCTAGAGGTATTCCAGGCGGATGGCGTCTCCCCACGGGGGGAGTCTCCTCTCCGTCTGGAGCCTCTAGACCACTCGAACCTGAGGGGGTCGGCTCAACTAGAGGGCGTCCCTGAGACTCGGACCTCGGCTCTAGTTAGCCGTTGTCGTGAGGCACCTTACCGACCGATAGATACACAACACCACCAAAAGGCAGTGTTATAGAAGTGAAACTGCTTTGCGCACGATGAGGGTAACTTTTCAAGGTCGCGTCACGACTTGAGCGTCAGATTTAGTGTGACGACTTTAAAGAACGGTTTTTTTGAAGTGAAATCTTCTTTAGCGGCGTTGTACACTTTTTTTGTATGGGTAAGTAATGTCAAACTCACATCGGGTTAAACACGTGGGCTGATCGCATCATGATACACAATAAAATTGGAAAGGTTGTTGACTCTCAATATATTGGACGAAACATAGTAATATTTTATTTTATCGTATTATAATAATAAGTTTCTATCTAGGACGTCCACTTGGTAGCTTTATTGCGAAGAAAATGCATTTTTTTACAATAGATGTCGCTAGGTGCGCTTAAATGTGATTCATGTAAGTTGATTTCTTTACAATAGATGTCGCTTAGTGCGCTCAAACGTGATTCATGTAAGTTGATTTTTCTAAGAGATAAACTTTTTTAATGTAATATAAATTGTCATTTTTTGTACGATAGCGCAATAAATAAATATAGTATTCTACCACACACATGATAGTACTTTTATACTGATAATTAAAGCAATTCGTGCAAAATTATTCCCTAACCATTCCAAAATATCAAAAATGCACAACTTTAGTTAGTATTCAAGTTTTCACTTCTGCCGGCACTCCCGGAGTGCAAACCGTCGTGTTTTTTTTTGTTTTTAAATTATGTAATGTACACAAGCTGTTTTTTACTGTGGTTCTTCTGTAAGGTGGAAGTTGCTTCCCCACACGGATGCTCCAATTCGAGCTTTGAAGATTTCCTCTCCTGTTTTTTGAACAGTGTGTTTTGACTGTTAATATATTTCAGTTCTCGAATACGTCGGCCCCAAATGGAGGACTTTCGTAGCCAACATGTCGATAGCCCTCTTCTTCACTGCTGCTGCCTCCCTCCTACCTTGGATCGCGTTGTGGGCAGACGATTGGAGGATATTCGCACTAGGGACCAGTGTGCCCTTCGCATTGGCTGTGGCGACGCCTTGGCTGGTACCGGAGAGCGCGAGGTTAGTGGTCGATATAAATAAATCAGTAGAAGGGAAAGCAGGATCGATCGAAAATGAGTTATATATATATATATATATATATATATATATACGAGATATACCAGTATATGTATATATGCACTAGGGATTTTACAAAAACGCTGATAATGAAGAAGAAGAAAAAGCTTTTATTGACCTTACACAAGTATGCAAAAAAACAATAAACATAGCAACAAAAATAAAATAACAACAGTGAGCAACAATATGGAGAGAGAAAAGGCCAATCAGGGCCCTGCCTCAGCATAATGCTGTTATAGTAGGAGTGGAATATTCCCACCATAACAACGCTGGTATTGTGGCAGGGCCTGTACGAGATTGCTAGAGACAACAGTATTCATTATAAAATGGAGTAAAATACATATAAATATAATAGTATACATAAACTGAGACATAAATAATTTGAGTCTATAAGATAGATAGTAAGTTATATTAAACTAGCAAACCAGTGAACCAAATATTCACCAAAACCTGATTTCTCGAAAACCGGGAGTGCTACGTTACTTAAATCCGGTTTGTAGTCTTATCAGACTATTCTTAACTTATAACTTAAATATTCTCTTTATCTATCTCTTACGGTTTGGCCGCTGAAACAGCACCACAGACAGACGGACTTGTCTAATAGATAAGAGACTAGCAAACCAGTGAACTAAATGTTCACCAAAACCTGATTTCTCGAAAACCGGAAGTGCAACGTTACTCAAATCCGGTTTGTAGTCTTATCAGACTATTCTTAACTTGTAACTTAAATATTCTCTTTATCTATCTCTTACGGTTTGGCCGCTGAAACAGCACCACAGACAGACGGACTTGTCTAATAGATAAGAGATAAGTATTATGGCCGCAAGTGCTATCAGCCGCGCACAGAGTGCAATAAATATGAGACAATGGCGATGACGATTCTCTTGATCTTACTGGAAAAAGATAGGATTTTTGTGAAAGAGTCGTCTACATAAGATTGCGAGAAGAATCGTTGACTTATTACAAATATTCTTGAGATTTTGATTCATCTCCATTCTCAATATTCGCCTTAGCTAAATTTTTGCGAAACTTCTATTTAAATAAAACTAGTTTTTACGGGTTATAATAACTTTATTTATTTATTGACGTTTCTAGCCTTTACAGGCTACGTCGTCAGAATGAAACTTCTATTTATCAAATCATCCTTGCACATAAATAATATCATCATAATTAGCTCTTTTCTTCTACATCGAAAAATTCGAGCACTTTTTGCTGCTTCAATTTCTTGTTATTTTTTATGAATAAGATTTAATTTTAAACATATTTTACATAGTTATGTTTTTTAATTTATTTTTAAGCATATAACTGCTAGATGTTTAAATCTAAAGAAGTCCGCTGCCTGGTCCGCGTGGATTTTTTCTAGTAAAAACTTTTCTTAATATTTTACATGTTTTTTTTAGATGGTTAGTCTCCCAAGGCAAGATCGACAAGGCTCTGATCATCATGAAGAAATTCGAGAGAATCAACAAGACCAAGATACCTGAGAAAGTGCTCGGTGAATTCACTGTAAGTGTATTGGTTTCTTTATTTTTTTTGAAGTGTTGTTGTACATTCGTCACAAAGTAAATTTTACACATAAAAAGTGTGTGTATGAGTAAATTCACCACAGTTCGATACTTATAAAATATAAGTAGGTGCATGTAGCGCAATAACTTTTAATGTATACATTGGAGTAAACAAAAATGTGACGAATTTACTTTGTGGCGAATAGTACAACCCGCTGTAAACAAACGAACGTGAAACACAAAAGTCAACATTAGACATTAGATCCTTAATTTAACGAATATTTTTTTTTAATTTATAATTAAAAAAAGCTATAAAAAATCCTTACATGAAACCCAAACAACACACAAAGTTTTTGATATATGATTTAATTTCACAAATACCTGTAAAAATAATATGTGTTCTTTCTTAACATCCCGGAGCCTGTAGAAGATCCGAAACGTAAAGAATAAAGTAAAAATAACCAAAAATGTGTTTATTTATATTAAAAGAGTGGCAAACAAGGATATATAGATATAACCTGGGGGTAATTACCCCCCGGGGGTAAATCCGCTTGATTTCGGGGGTAACAAAGAAGCTAATTATTTGGTCAAACTTAAATAATAAGAAAATACAGTACACCGCTCAGTTTTAACTGTTATAGCTAACAAAGCTTTAAAAATGTAATACCCTTAGCCACCATTTACAGATGCGAGAGTGGTTTTTCAACTTTAGTTACCTCCATTAAAAACAAAGGCCAAGAAACCCTCTTGTGACACAAGCTTAAGATGCGCTTTAAGTGAAACTAAACCTAACAGAAAAAAACATATAAATCCAAGAAAATTCCAACTTTCACAATGATTATTATTCATTCATAGTTTAAATATGAAACAATGTAAAATTGTAATACTATTCTGCAATTTACCCTGACCCAACCCTACCCCCTGAAAGCCAGGAATCTTTCTCAACGACAGAAACACTACATCACCAAAAGGTAGTGTAATTATATTTTAGTCTTCTATAACTTAGAGGTTACTTTCCCAGTCGGGCGCTCCAATTCGAGAGGAAAATCCGCTATACCTTATGCCACATGTGAGGTTCTAACTTTCTCCCCTCCCCTCCCGCCCCTCCAGTCTACCTCAGAGCGCAGGGGAAACAATGAAAGAAAACAAAAGAATTAAGATAATGTTATAATTATATTTTACTAACTATAGATCCTAAAGAAGATGAAAACAGTAGTTTTAAAGTTATAGTTTATATAAATCACCAAGTTGACATGAAATGTTATAACTATATTTTACTAACTATAAATATCATAAGGAAGCTGAATACAGTAGTTTTTAAGTCTCTTAATCCCTTTATTCCCGTTGAAAAGATGTTTTATCAAACGTGTTTTTTATTGCAGGAAGCCTCCCTGAAAACCATTAAGGATTGCGAAGCCGATGGCCGTTCATACTCAGTGTTAGACCTCTTCAAAACGCCACGTCTCAGAAGGAACGCTATCCTCCTAATAGTTATATGGATGGCTATATCCCTAGTCTTCGACGGACATGTCAGGAACGTCGGTTCCCTGGGATTGGATCTTTTCCTGACGTTCACTATTGCGTCAGCGACGGAGTTGCCCGCTGACACATTCTTGACCGCTGTTTTAGACAGGCAAGTGATATTTACGAACTTCTGTTCACTATTTAACTTGACAATTAACCTATAGTACAACATTTAACAATGATATATTGTGTGTTGAACAAGATTAAGCATTAACTTAATTTAGGAATGTTGGTGCAAGCAGACATAATATACATAAAGAGTGTACTGACATACATTCTAGTGACATTGACAACTCTCTAGAAAGAGATAGAGTGATGGTGAAGTTACCAATAAGTCAACCTATTTGCGTCACGATCATGTTATCTCTCTCATATTTATCTGCCCAATTCAGACCATTCTCTTATATTCTTGACGTTGACTCGATAGTCATTTCGCTGACACATTCTTGACCGCTCTTTTGGACAGGCGAATTATGCTTTCAAAATCTATTTAGTTATTAATAATATAAATGATTTCCTTCATTGAAATACTCACTCTGGTCTGTAAAAGAAATTTTACGTGAACTTTGTTCATTATCATTATATTTTTTTATTTATAGTTTATACTGGTAGTTAGTTATAAATATTATTGTGTGAAATTTTGCATAATTGCAATGAATGTGCACAATGCTAATTCTAATTTTAAGAATTTAGACATTAAGTAGTTTTTAGCTATGTTTTTATTTTTTAAGCATTTAACTGCTATATGTTTAAATCTAAAGAAAAGTTTACTAGAAAAAAATCCACGCGGACCAGGCAGCCGACGGAACTCGAACCCGCACCCTTCGCTATCCGGGCGAATGCACTGACCATTATGCATTAGTTTTAAGCTTTTGTAATTTCAATATTTCTGTGTAAATAACCAAATAAATAGTTGTATAAAATACATAACAAAATATTTTTTTGGTGTTTTCTAATATTTGTTTAATATTTTAGATGGGGCAGGAGATGGTTGGCCTGCGGTTCTATGGTTATCAGTGGAATTTTCAGTCTACTAGCCACCGCTGTGCCAATTGGTATGTATTATTTATAATTTAATTTATATAAAAAACAACGTATTGTTTCATTTATATATTCGAAATAAACCCAAAGACTATCCTACGTATAGGTAAATACCAAATAAATATTTCCTACACTCACACCAAAGTAAATACTTCAAAGCTTTTGTTATGTGATACTATGGTAACGTATAGAAATTTATTAACAAAGTTTATCACATTTTTTTCGTTACCGCTAAAGGTCTTAGAAAGGCATTCGTTACTGATACATATTTTTGTAAAAGATTTAAAGTATATTTTTGTAAATATATATGTATAAACAGCCATAACTCAGAAGGACAGGAACGACCGGGATTCGAATCTATGACCTCAGTTTTGATGGCAAAGGATCTGTTCAAATGGAACAAAATACTGTCAAGTTACTGCAATAAACCTTTTATCATAAAGGACCCCGCAAAATCCTTGGAAGCTGGCTCTCGGCCAATTTTTCTGTAACTTTGGGAGATGATAGGTCATAACACGTGGAATAAAAGAAAAGAAAATCCAGAGACATCCTTGAATAGAATAGCAAATGGCATAGTAATATATATCTAGAAAGAAAGAGAGAGGATGAAGGACAAATTTAGATTGTTATCTACAGATATCTCCATCAAAATACAATAAAAATTATGTATTTATACTATACTAGTGCCCGCTCTCGCTTTGCTTCGGTGTAGAGCTGTAGACTATAGTTTTTGTTCAAAGGCTTGTATTTATACACAATGATTTTCTTCATAATAATTATAAACCTGCCATTCCAAGTAAAAAATTCGTTGCGCAGTTTATGACCCGTTGTTGTACCGAATGCAACATTGCTCTGCTGTTCCGATTTGAAAAATTCTTATTGTATTGGACAGTACATTTATCGAGAAAGGCTATACATTATCATTACCAGTAGCAGCGGAGCATCGATGAATTTTTTTGCAAAAACAGGTAAAAATGGAATAACCATTTGTGAGATTCCGTTGCGTGCGCTGGATATACTGTTTAAGTTACACAAAAAGCATGTATGACGGAATTCTTCCCCTTTAAAAGTTCTGTAAAAAAGTCCACGACAACCTATGTCCATATTTTAAGTTTGACTCACTATAAACCTTTTTCTTCAAATTTACGCGGGGAAACCGCAGGGGACCTCTAGTTGTGACATAACTGTAATAGTTAGACATATGGTATTCGGGACTTTTTTGTAGATATTGATGTCCTCTATAAAACTTTAGTACATCACTTTGCTTTATTGTCAATGACTTCCGCAGCGTACGCGATATAAGGCTATTTTTTGGTAGCTTTTACACGTTAGGTTATATTATTAAAGTTTTCAAACTCAAAACTCTAACTTTTTTGAAAATACACTATAGCCTATATTAATCAGTGATAATGTAGTATTCAAATGGTGAAAGAATTTTTAAAATCGGTCCTGTACTTTTTGAGCCAATTCGTTACAAACATACTTACATACAAATCTTTTCTCTTTATAATTTTAAGTATAGATATTTCAAATAATCTTTTCTTCATCTCCAGGTGGGCCATCAGCATCTTTAGCCATCATGGGACGGTTTGCCGTCAACATATCTTACAATATTGGTCTTCAATACGCCGCTGAACTACTGCCTACCGTAGTCAGAGCTCAAGGAGTAGCTTTGATCCATATTATGGGATACGTGGCTTCCATACTTGCACCATTTGTGGTGTATTTGGTGAGTACTTGCTGAAAATTTTTAATTAGCTTAATTCCGTAAAGCACATCATTATCATCCTTGTTTCTATTTAATTTCGAAAACAAGTCTTTAACCAGTTTTTTTTATATATATAGCCAGGTAGGCAGGTCGGTTCAGCTGGTCTCGAGATTTGCACTTAGCAAACCATTCAGCGATTAATCTTTATATTACAGATAGATATAAACAGATACTTTGATCTATTTATCCTCAATTTTTAAACCGTGTTTTTTTATATAGTCACGTAGACAAATAACTCTACCCCACCTGATGTTAAATGGTGATAAAGTCCAAACGCGAAGATAGCTGACACAGCAGTTATAAACTGCCACATCAACCATCCTCACTTTGCCGGCCTGCAAAAATGCTTCTTCACGTCTCTCTTAAAACACCCCAGATTGTAGGTAGGAGGGAACACGTGCGCGGGTAAAGAATTCCACTTACGAATTTTTAATGCAATAGTGCACTTAGACCTAAGTAATTTACCTTTTAGATATTTGGGATAAGTCGAAGCGCCTGTCTAAAGAAAGTCTTTCATATTACCTAATTGAATATTGTAGAGTATTGTTTTCTTACATTGAGTAAAATTGCCAAAGCTCCTGCCATTTAACAAAATTCACCTTCACAAAAATTCAAAGTTCACAAAAAACCTTATACTCTACTTAACCTATACCTATTATTTAGCAACGATCAGTACAAATCCACACAACAATACATATACCCCCTTACTAAGTCTTCGCAATGTTTGTGGCCCTAACATGTAAGCACTGCTAAACCCAATTATTTACCAATTGCGAGTCTGAAGAGTAAATAAACAAGGAATAGGCTTAGACTAGTTAAGCCGTGTTTTGTTCATGTCACACAAATGCCATTTGTCATTCAATAAACAGACAAGACATGGAGTAACTAATCCAACAGTAGTCTCCGTTTATTAATAAGGGGAATAATGTTTGTGTGGATAAAACCTACTCGTCTGAATATCTCTTATCTATTAGACAAGTCCGTCCGTCCGTCTGTGGTGCTGTTTCAGCGGCCAAACCGTAAGAGATAGATAAAGAGAATATTTAAGTTATAAGTTAAGAATAGTCTGATAAGACTACAAACCGGATTTGAGTAACGTAGCACTTCCGGTTTTCGAGAAATCACGAATTTCAAACGAAACCACACAAAATCTCCGAAGTTTTCAATTAATTAAATACATTTTTTTTTAATCAGGTTTTGGTGAACATTTGGTTCACTGGTTTGCTAATTGTAGAATTACACTAGTTGAACAATATTGCACCTGACATTAACTATGGGCTCTACCAGAAATAAATAAAGAAATAGTAATAATTATATAAGCGATTATCCTACCCTATCTGCTTTAATCCAATCCCCTACCCCGCGGAGCTGTAGAAAGGTAACTCACTCACAGAAACACAACACCACCAAAAGCTAGTGTTATTTTACTGAGGTCTTCTGTACCGTGGATATTACTTCCCCAGACAAGCACTCCAATTCGTGCGGAAAATCCGATATGCCCTTCCTCTCAAAATACGTTATATATATAGTAATGTTGTTAACTAAAAGTGAAATCGAAACTCAACTCAAAAACACATTAAAATTTCTTATTTCCTACCAGGCTAACATCTCCCAAGATCTACCTCTCTTGATTCTTGGAGTATTAGGAATAATCGGCGGTCTTCTATGCCTGTTCCTACCTGAGACCATGGACACGGAAATGCCCCAAACCCTGCAGGACGGGGAGAACTTTGGCAAAGATCAGAAGTTCTGGGACAATCCTTGCTTCCCTAGGTAAGTATGGCGAGTCGTTAGTGATTTAGTCAGGTTGTCAATAGAAATGATAACGAGGTAAAATTATCAAAATTCTATTTAGTCCGTCAGTCTGATAATCAAAAATTTACATCAAAAACTAACATTTCTAACCAAAATTACCATGATAAAGCGTGTCAAAGTATCTTTAGTCAAATAACCAAAAAAATACCGTCAATGATTGGGAGTGAGGGCTGGTGACGTAACTGCTAAGTAAAAATTGTACGAAAACGCGACATCATGCGACATTTCAAATCAATATAAATATTTTGAATATGTGAAAATAACGTCTACAATACTTTTTTTTATAATCTACTATCAGGTTAAGAGAAAAAATTTGGTCATGATTCCTATTCGATTACGCAGTAATTAACGCATTTGCAATAGTCGGTCATAGGATGCGTGACCAAAAATTTATACTCTCGAGCTCCTCCGTGCTTCGGAAGGCACGTTAAACCATTTGATTCAGCTGCATTTGTAGTCGTTAGCACTTGCCAATCGCACTGGGTCCGTTTAGCGGATCGCGATCCGTTCTTCCAATTTCATCATCAGGGAAGGCCTGTATTCCAGCAGTAGATGATGATGATGAAACATTGCAATTTTTGTAATCAGACGCTGGTCTACTCTTCCTAAATAGTACGAGTACGCACAAACAAACTCGTATTCAATTATATAAAAAATTCGATCATTTTCTTATATTATCACTATTGCCTAGAAAGTTAAATGTGTGAACTAGTTTAAAGAATATTTTTTGAGAATTTAATAAAAAAAATCTTTAGATTAAGTTTAAAGAATATATTACCGCTATTAATAAAGTAATTGTATTTGATACGAAATTAAAAAACCTACTAAACAAATAAATCATATTTCACAGGAAAACCAAACAAGACGCAGAGAACCCTGGTCAGTACAGAAGACGCATCTCAGTATCGAGTAGTCGCGAAGACCATTTCGTCAGAGCATTTCCCGCCGTAGGCTCCAGAGCATCTATTAGAGCATCGATTCGGGCTTCCACCAGATCAAAACAACACAACCCTGAGCACAGAAACGAAGTCGTTTGAGGTATTCCACCCTAATACTAGGTATTTAGGATCTAAATTCCATTACATTTGCACCTTGAAAAATACAAAAACATGATGTGTGTATTTTAAATGTTATTAAGTCAAAAATTGTTGATATATTGACGACTGTATAGTAGAAGTGGATTGTAGAGATCGGGACAAATTGAAACGTGCATTATTTAAAATATTTATTGATGTATAATTGAAACATTTAAAAGATAAATTTTAGTCAAATCAAAATAATATTTCGTCTTTTGGTGATTATTGAAATCAAAATATGTACCTATGAAGGTGAAGCCATGTTATAAATAATGGCATTGAGAACCAGTAAGATAACTTATCGATAACTCTTTGAACAGTGTGACTTTGAAGTCAAGTTATTTATTTAGTTGTCAAAAGAAGCTTTATTTATTTAATTGGAGTAAAATTGGTGTAAATATTATTAAAATTTGTGTGTGTTCTAGTTGTGGATGATGTATTGACCAAAGGAATTAAATTTTGTTGAGTGAAAGAGACTTGTAGGTGCTTCTTAATCTTAAAAATTGATTCCTAGTTAAGACTCATACTATTGTAAAAATTAAGAATAGATAGTTTAAAAATATGGAAAAAAGATAAGCTTTTCTTGATAAGTGCCAGGGTTGTGTTAATACCCAATCGAATAAATAATTATGAATATTAATTGTGAGTGAAATATAATTTAATGAAATATAATAGGTTAACCATTTTGAATCTTGCCGTAGGTAATTCAGTAACGCATAATTTCTTGTAATACATAATAGTGACATTTGATTTGATATTTTTTGTGTGTGACGATGACTGTTGTCTTATAATATTTTCAAGAAGCCTTTCGCTAGAGTTTCTAAGTTTGATAGTGTACAAATACCATTTCCTATTCATGTGATAAAATTTATTTAGTACAAAGTTGATGTAACACTACTATTATAATTATAATAAAGTATAGGGCTTTCGTTTGATACAAAGGCAAGATCTGTTTTTAGAATGTGACGCTCTCTAAGTTACCTTTTTTTCCGATTGTATAAATATATTTGGAGGACCACTTATCTTTTACTAAAGTGAAGAATATAGAAAAATATCAGGCATTTTTGCAGTAAGAAAAACCAGCAGCATTTTTTTCACTGTCGAAGATAAGCAAACAGTTATCCTAGACATTGGAACAGAGTTGGAAAACAAAGCAATGTTTCGATTGATCTCGTCGCATTGATAAAATATGGCTGGCAGTATGAACAGCCAAAGCTTAACTTAAATAGTAATTTATATTATTTACGGGATAACTACCATGTACCTAGGATTTCTACTGCGTTTTTACCGAGTATCCGATATTTCGGCAATGTTGTATGCGCCATAATCACACAGTAACTGGTACCTGGCTAAAATAACAAGCTATGTGGTAGCAAACCCATAAATAACATAAGTAACTAGCATAATGTTAGTAAACATAAATGTTAAGGCAATATTTATCAAAGCTATTCAATCATATACTCTTTTATTGACACGGAATCTTCTATGAGCCGTGGATTTGAAACGCTGGGAACAGTTAGTGCAGTAACATTTATAAGATCTTGTAACAGCGTAAACTGAATAAATGATATAGTATTTGGATTTACGGTTATTGAATGAGGTATCAGCAGTTCTATTCTGCAACACACACTTTTCACCTCGAGATCAAGGATCAGGGATGTTATTTCAAATTAGGACATGAATTTTTAAATAAATTTCATTTTAAATCACACCGGCGAATTGCATGGTAGATGTAAGATTGTTCTGACAGAAAAGCACGGCTGATCATATCAAGTTTCCTCATCAGCGATGGGACAATAAATTGTCTTAAGATATATGCGAACCGTATTTACCTTGTCAATCGGTAAGATAATGTTTCATATCTTATGTATGTAGCCTTCAGGAAAATGGAAGCAAGTATTGTAAAGGTTGAATTTATTGATATCTTCATGAATATAAAGTGTTTACGCGGAGATATTAAAGAACATATAAATTGAGATCACAGTAGCTATTGGACGCAAGCTCGACATTGTGTCGTTATCTACGAGATTGATTTGTCTTGATTGTAACAATTGATTTGAAACAGTAAAATAAAATTAGAAACACATTTCGAAAAATAGGAATTACAGAAACTTTAGTGTGCTTTTATGTCACAACGAAGAAAACTAAACTTTTAAAGTTATTTATTAGTGGCTATTGTGGGCTATCCGCTTATTTATTTATAATTACCACTGGCACTGAACCACCTATGTCAACAAGGATTGGTATGCTCTGAATTGAAACGGAAAAAAAATTAAATCAAACTATTTATTGCAACCATAATGTGTACAGTGGTAGGTACTTCTATAAATATGAGCAATAAGGACACCGCCAGCACGCAATTTTTTAAAAGAAGAGAGAATGCGCTTCCCAAATGAACAACACGACGACCTCCGTGGCCGAGTGGATTGTACGCCGGGTTTCATGATGTCGCCGACTCGAGAGGGCCCGAGTACGAATCCCTGTGGGGGCAGATGTGTTTGTGATGAATACGTGCATTTATACTCCAGTCATGGATGTTTAATATGTATTTCTATATAAATATACTTATATATGTATTCTATCCGTTACCCTAGTATCCCATAACACAAGCCTTATAGTACTTACTTTGGGGCTAGGCTAATTGGTGTGTGTAAAAAAAAACTCAGTAATTATAGTGAGATAAGGTTAAACAACAATAATGCCAATTTCGACTGCATCACACCTTTACAACAGCTTTTCCAATTCAAGTTACAAATCATATTGCGCCCTGTTTCTCTTGATTACCCTTGACAACAATCTAGAATGCATTTAATACTAGGCAATTGACAATATTGATACTTCGCGCTGTCTCAATGTTCTATAATGATTTAAGATCACGTGACAAAGCAGCGTTGCTTACATGTATTGTGTTTGCGTTAACATTTATAGCACTTGACATTATTAAAGTGCATTCTCGGGGCCTTCATTCAATGGCGAACACGGACTGAGCTGATATGTCGTTAGAATCTTGAATGTTTGTTACTAATCTGAAGTTTGAACAAGGCCGAAGGGAATTCATTTATATCATTCCAATTCACCTCGGAAAGATTATAAATAGGTACTGACCTATCGAAAATCTTTCCGGGATCTTTATCCCAATTCATTTTAGCGTGATTGAGTACAAACAGGGCCATCTTTAATCTATTGGAAGCTCTGGGCATATAAGGATAATGGGGCCCCTCTGACTTTGATGTGGATTATGACTTGAAATGGAGCGAGTTAAATAAAAGCTAGTAAATTGGTATTGTAGTCAGTAATTTAGGTTCGATTTCATCTAAATTATATAAGTTTTTTGGTAATAAATATTGGTTATCGTTTGGTGATTGGACAGGAACTAGGGACTTTGTATTTCATCTGAGGGGCATGGGCACTTGCCCAAAGTGCCCACTGTGAAAGACGGGTCTGGATACAAACATACAATCTATCTTTACTTAATATTATAAAGCTGAAGAGTTTGTTTGGTTGCGCGCGCTAATCTCAGTAACTACTTGTCCAATTTCAAACATTACTTTTGTGATGGATAGTGAATGTATCTGAAGGCTATAAGGCTACTGACATCACGCTATGACTAATAGAAGCGGATCACCAATGAAAAATGTAGCAAATAAAACATAATACATAAAAATAATGTATGAAGTAATTGTTTCCCTTTAATAATTCTATAAACAAAGTCCGCGACAGCATATATCTATCTCTTAAAGATGGCCACCCTTTTCCTTAAATCACTGCGAATGAAACTGTAGGAGCACCTGTAGAAACATTCGCAACGATTAAATTCAAATTCTGTCCAAAGGCAATGCCTGCCCCATATATTATATGGACATTAAAAGGCTAATGCTGTTGAGTATTATGATTATCTATCTTTTAAGGATGGCCCACTATAACCCCTTTCCCTAAATTAATGCAGATGAAACTGTACGGGCACCTCTAGAAACATTCTCAGTAGGATTAAATTCAAATTCTGTCCAAAGGCAATGCCTGCCCCAAATATTATATGGACATTAAAAATCTAATGCTGTTGAGTATTATGATTATGATAATAGTAATATCTTAACAAGTCTAAATCACCACGGTTCATCTTTTATTTTTCTCGGAATCAATTAACTTGATAAAAGTGTCCTTACAGCTATGCCATTTATTATCTTTTATTAACTTCTATAGTAAGACGGTTCCATCAAAAACATTTTTCAATTAAATGCAGCGAAACGAGTGATCCGACACTATTGCTTTAAATTGGTTACATCACGAAAGGCCGTGAGGATTTTTTTTTTTGTTATTTTATTTTACATTAGATTTTTAACAATTGTGATTTTAAATACCAGCTTGTTCTTTTTATTGTAATTAATATCTTTTATACCTAGAAGTTATAGGTAGCGGTGATCAAAACCACGGATAAATAACTTGCCCAGCAGATGTTTATGTATGGAAAATTGCTACTGCGCAGGTACCTTACAGGTGCCTTGTATATGTTCGATATTCAATAGGATTGCCAAGGTGTATATTATAACATGAAAGATATCAATAAATACAACATTTTGATGGTAAAAAATATGCAGAACAAAATGAACCTATGGTTATTGTAAACTATGTTCGTATCTAAGTGCTGTTGTGTTAAATGTATATGAAAAAGATAGATTTTCTTTTCATGAAATGTCTTATGAAGTTGTGGTTTTTTTATTTAAATGTTTTTGTGTCTAGATACCAAGTTAGTAATAAAGGACAATGTTTTTTTCTATAATCAGATAATCTTTTCTTTTTGTCATTTAAACATTAATTTATTGATATTATAATATTTAATAGACGTAATAATATGTATTCCTAAAATAAGTTTTAGTTAGATAATTTTTAGGTTTAATGACATTTTAATAATTGTAAATATTATTTTTTGTGAACACTTTTGGAAGAATATTAAAATTTGTATATACCCATATATTTTTTGTAATTCTTGAAGTTATAATGTCTCATAATCTTTTTATGTATATTACTTATACATAGATTACTTAATAAGTTTCTTTTCCACACTTAATATTATATCACTTTATTTTTTATTTAAATTATTTATATATCTCCTTATAAAATAAAATATTTATTTATTCATTTTTTTTCTTACGACCGCTGTCATTTATTGAAGTACTATTTATTTTTATTTTTTTTATTACGAAAATTGTATGTTACTTATTATGTACTTTTATTAAATGTAACAGTATTTTTATGTTGCCATTTTGATAGAAATTTATTGTGCAAATTATAATATTGTTGTGATCATTGGAATATTGTTCTGTGATAAAAATAATAATAATAATAAACATTATGCTCAATTTATCAAAGCTTTTATTTCGTAACTAGTGGCCCGCCCTCGCTTCACTTCGGGGTAGAATTGATCAAAATCCTTTCTTAGCGGATGCCTGCGTCATAACATCTACCTGCATGCAAAATTTCAGTCCGATCCGTCCAGTGGCTTGGGCTGTGCGTTGATAGATCACTATGTCAGTCAGTCACCTTTGAGTTTTATATATATAGATTTCTTTTATTTGTGTAAAAAGGGCAACAGACAAACATATAGTCCGCTTAATAAAATGTAGAACTCATAAACGAAACATATTTTTGATATTTCATACAAATGTTGCTATTCTAAAGCCAATGGATTGAAAAATCTATGGTGAATGACTATTCAAGAGATTATTTCGCTCAAACCATAATTATCATCACCCGACAGACAGGAGAAATACTTACTTGAACCGTACAGACAGAAGATCATACTTAATAATAAAAAAAATGCATTTTAATCTGTCTATTCGTTTAGAAGCTACGATGACACAGATACGTCAAACTTATATCACCCCTCTTTTTGAGTCGATGGTTAAAAATATCACAAACATAGTAGTGTTGTGTTTCTGTTGATACATCCATAAATTACGTCGCACGTAAAGGGGGAGGGAGGAGTCGACGAAGTGTGACATTGTGTGACAAGGAATGGGAGGGATTCAAAGTTTCGTGACATCACATTTCATAATATAATACCTATATCTGTAGGTAGACCGCTTAACTGTATCTTCGCCTGCGGTGTAAAGGGTGTGGGGATAACGAAAACATTCTTGTCAAAATTACAAGAACCCGCCGCCCGGACCTCTCACGGTCCCCGTTTCCCCCTCCCCCACACCCTGTACCCCGCAGGCGAGGTCTCAGTTAAGCGGTTTACCTATAAGTGATTAAATGCTTAATTTTAACTATTAACGATTTACTTAAAAATATTTTCAACTTTATCTCTATGAAAAAAGATTTAAATTGTTTTAAAGGAAATATAACTAGAAAAAAATTCACGCGGACCAGGTAGCAGACGGGACCACTGGGACGGGCAGACGGGGCCTGGTCCGCGTGGAATTTTTTCTAGTTATATTTTCTTTAGATTTCAAGATCAAGCAGTTACATGCTTTAAAAAATAAAAATTATATCTCAAATTGTTTTGTTGGCGAAACCATGAATCAAGATGATTTTTTTTTTCAAACATTTTTTAATATTTTTGTCAAAAAGTCACGAAATTAGTGTGACATTCTTTATGGATATCCCCTAAGTAAAGTCTAAGGGTGTGGACTCTGCTGAAGTCAAAGTAAAAATCGTGTATCAAATTGGCTTTCAGTAGTTTTGAAATGACACCACGCAGGTTAACAACAGAATTATGTAACATCTTGCACAGATATCAAAGCTCATAAACACCCAGCTTCGGCTAACCATTGAACCTTAGACAGTAGGTATACACAACGATGCTCCAACGAACGATAGCTTTGAACAAACATTATTGAATGTTAATTGTTATTCACGCGAACCACTTAATCAATGCTGGACGATAGTGTTGTGGAGCAGTCTATAATAATTTATCGATAATTGAGTATAAAATATATATATATATATCGATTTTGCCAGGTTGTTAAACACATTTATGGTAATTTAAAACAAGCAGTTTCATCATCAGCCTATTAATGTCCCCACTGCTGGGGCACAGGCCTTCCCGATGGATAGAATAGGGAGATTGGGCCATGACCCACCACGCGGGCCCAGTGCGGATTGGCAGGTGCTAACAACTGCAGATTCATCCGGGACCAACGGCTTAACGTACCTACCAAAGCACGGAGGAACTATATATTTAGTATTTTTTCTAAAATACATGCATTAAAATAAAGTAAAAATAAAATTCCTAGGTGTAGGATAGGTCCAAGGACACTACCCTGTGGGACTCCATAGGATAGGAGATCATCCATTTGTCACTCATAATGCCGTTTATCATCATTCTTTGGTACCAGTCACATAGCTTCGAAGTAAATCAAGTACAGCTCTCCGAACTCCAAGGCACTCAAGCTTATTTATCAAGATTGGGATGGCGACAGTATCAAAAGCTTCAAAAATATGCTAATACCTTTCTATTTATTAACTAATTTAGTACACAAACAATAAAATAGATAAGAACAGGACCAAGAAAGGACAATGTTAAAATTGGCCTAAGAACCAACACCAATTTGGCATTTATGATAATTCTTAGTATATTTTTTGCG